GTAGGTCTGAAATTAGCCTGAGCTGTTTTTTTAAAGTTCCTACATGATGCCGATCTTGGTCAATGCCTGAAATATACTGATAGTGTTGCAAGGAGTTTCAGAGCAGTTTATAACAGCTTATCAGTACCGATAAGAGGTTAATGGTTTATACTTGGTCTCTGTGAGTTCTCCAGAGGGCTTTTCCTAGCAGGAATATGCCCATGTGGCCAAAACCAAAAACCCCTAATATTCCATTTTAGGCTTTCTGGGTTCTGAGGTGTTCTGTACATCTACTGCTGGTTCCTGATCTGTGAGAGAAAATGCATCCTGCCTGGCCCTTACCTAGAGAGGACAACAGGAGACTGTATCTCGTGTCCCTGGGCCCTTTGCTGTGAGACAGCCATCATATGTGATATATATCCTTACTTTAATGCAGTGGTTATTTTGTCCCCTTTTCCTATAATAAACTACAGATTTATAAGCACTGTCATTTTGGGTCCTATGAGTCTTCTTTAGCAATCAAACACTGTTTAACTGACACTATTAGTGTAGTTATAAGGAGAGGAAATAGAAGTAATTAATTTCCATTGTTCCAAGGAGAAACAATCAAGATTGATGCGTTAGGCCAGGTGTGGTGGCTCATGCCTGTAATCCTAACACTTTGGAAGGCCAAGGCAGGAGGACTGCTTAAGGCCAAGAGTTCAAGACCAGCTTGAGCAAGAGCAAAACTCTGTCTTTACAAAAAATAGAAAAATTAGCTGGGTGTGGTGGCATGCGCCTGTAGTCCCGGCTACTTGGGAGACTGTGGCAGGAGGATCAATTGCTAGAGCCCCAGGACTTTGAGGATGTAGTGAGCTATGATGATGCCACTGCACTCTAGCCCACATGAGAGAGAGAGAGAGAGAGAGAGAGAGAGAGAGAGAGAGACCTTGTCTCAAAAAAAAGATCAATCTTAAAACAAGGCAGATTTACTTTGTCTTGCAAGGTATTGAGCAAATGTCTAGATCTGTTCACTGAACACTGAAGTAGAAGCTAAATGTTCATCTGCTGTGAGATTACTGCATTGGGTATATGACCTCAAGGTGCCTACTGACCCCTAAGACCTTAACATTTCTCAATTTGGAAAAAGCTTTTCAATAGGAACCATACCTGTGATGTCAGCTTCCCAGCAATCTGCATTCGTTCAATTTCTGCAGGAGATTTGATCAGTCGGAGGCGCTGTACCAGCTGCTGGACACCCCGAACCTTGTTCTTGCTCCTGGCTTTGGCCTCCGTCAGATGCTGCATGTAGTCAGAGTGAAGCTGTGCATGAGAGGGCCTCATCCAGTCATACCAAACCATGTTCGTCTCAGCTTAGAACAAGAAGCCAAAAGATAAATTTAAAACAAGACTAACAGCAACAATAAGAAATGTCAACTGTCATAATGACTTGAATAAAACTCAAAACTATAAAACCTGTAATGTAGACCTCTAAAGAGTTGAGTAAAACTCTCTTAGGACTGAAGCAACTGAAGGGTTTGATTATAAATCACTGGAAAGGCCATTCCCTGAAAATGGGAAGATATTTTGAAATTGAATATGCAGCCTTTTGGCCCAAAATTTAATTGTTCTTTATAAAGATGATAGATGGGACTAAAGCTTTATTTAAGCTTTGACTTTACTTATTATTTATTAATTGTTAAAGAACAATTACAACAATTGTTCTCCACCACCACTGTTGAGCTAAAGGCACTGTTGAATAATTGCCCATGAAAGGACAGAAAAATGTACTCAGATCATGATGTTATGGTTAAAGTATCCCATCCCTTCATAAAATTAACTCAGTACTAGGCGAAGAAGGTTCTTCTCTCATTTTGGAGCAATTATTCATTGCTTTAGAAACACTAAAGTTGATAATATGTGCTAATCCACATCTACCCACCTCTCTGTCTATTACCCCTGTAAACAATCATGGTTCACCTTTTAACTTTAGCAACCCAAGGAAATGGTCTATATTTGCTGGAGATACATGACATGAAGGCCCATTATGAAAATGATTTGTACTTAAACGCAGATACACATTTGTTCTCTTCTTCTGACAGTAGTCTATGAATAGTATTCCTAATAATCTAAGTCTGAAGGGTTGTAT